TGGTGTGTAGTTTAGATCAACACAAATATACTTTTAATTTTAGACCTTTATATAACTACTGTCTGTTGGTGTACCTTATTCAATAAAATAGAAATAAAAAGGCTACAGAAAATATTTTCGTGGTTATAGCAACCCTGTGCCGGTGTGCGTTTTATGGCTCTTTCTTTTACGAGCATGGCATGGCAGCCCTGAGCGCGACGCGGGTTGAAGGCCGGGGAAGGCTGTGCGGGCGTCCTCGACCCTGGCGACCTCGACGCGTGCCGTATTGTTCCTGGCGGGCTAATGTTACGCGTGGAGCGACCGTCGTCGTCGGGCTATTCACCGGTCGCCATGGCTGCTTTTGTTTTGAACTTGCGATTGCGGCAATACTGAATTTTATAAACTTTCCATTCGTTAAAGCTATATGACGCCACTAATATGAAAGGTAACCTATTCGATGATAGTCTTTAGTGTTGTTTTCAGATAGTAATAACAGGCTGAATTTTGAAATTATTTTTGTCTCTTTGTACTTATATGTAGGCCCTAGATGTATTTTGTCTCTACGACTTTATCAAATTAATTGAACTCTTATCATCTAATGCAGTACTCTGTCCATCTTATTACAAAACATTCCGCCTTTTATTTTCGCGAAACTTGACATTTGCTGTCGAATGGAATTCGTTACATTTTAATTTAATATTTTCGCGGGGTTTCTTTCTTAAAAGAGATTTTAGTTTTAAATCTGAGACGAAATATAGGTTCCTTTTTGAAATACGACAAACATGTGCTTTATAATAATCTCACTATATTAAATACAAGTTTTAATCGAGTTTTGTTTATTTTTAGACATGTAATTGTTCTAGGTCTATGGAAATTGTGTCTGGATTTTCGTGCGTTTGCGGTGTTTAAGTTTATATTTGTAACCCGATATATATGCAACGAGTCTACTCATATCACCGACTGACTATACGAACGCGTGCTTGTTTCAATGTTATATTTTCAACTTTCAAAGGAACTGTATACGAGTGAGAAGATGACAGAAAATCTGTCTTTTTATGAATAAGGGTGGCAAACGAGCACACAGTCCACCAGATGGTAAGTGGATGCTGTGGCCCATAGACATATACATTTATCCTCGATTAAGAATCAAAACACAGATACGTTGTTACCCCTGAGGACTAAGATGGAATGCCTTGTTTCCAGTAAAAAAGGGTCTCCGGTTCTCTACACTCACCATACGAAACACAGCAGTATTAGACTGCTATTTAACGCTGGTATACTGTGAGAGCGTGGTCCTTCCCCGGTCGAGCCGACCCATTCGTGCTACAACCGTAATATAGCTGCAGCGTGGCTTTACCACGTGACAAAAACTTTTATAAATAAATTTTTAAACTTTTATAATTTATATTTTGATATTTTATATGAAGGCGCAAGACCATCCACTACCCTTTGTCATCCCGTAGATGCTACAGGAGGCAACAGATAGAACTGAAGTAGGAGGTGAGTAGCAGCATCTTATAAAAAATGCGGTTGCGAACCCGCTTGCCAAGTGCGACATGTATGGCAGATATGAGGGATATTTGTATGCTATGAGAAAGGCCTTTGTTCAGTTGTGGATTTTAGATGTATTGTAAAGAATGAATGAATAAAAATTTCGACAGTCGGAGACCATAGAAATAGTAATAATACGATTTCTGTGGCGGAGACCAAAACCAAATTCGTGTCTAATGAAAGGCCCCTGATTGCGAGTTGAATCCCAATCTTATGTCCTCATCGATCAATAACGTAGGTACCTAAAAAAAATGAATCAAAGCGTGAAACTGACATGTGACATAACAGTTCTTTATTATAGAGACCTTCAAAAATATTTCTTACAATTTACTCGTGTCTCACAATACTTTTTAAACATATTTCATTCGCTTGTTTAAACAATTTTACTGGCGTTTAGCCAAAACCACAAAACAAGATCTAATTCTTTATAATTGTAACATTTACGATAATTTAAATAATTTGCAGCGTCTCTACGTCCAGCAAGTTCTGTGTCCCATTATCACATAAGATGATAGAAGTCATCATTATCCTTTAACAGATCTGCATTACCTTGTATTACGTCATCCAGCTTACATTTTTTTTATATTTTCTACCGAGAACCAGTCCTATGTGTTAGTTATTTTTTGTGACATGCTATTTGTTTTGTCGTCAGGAGGTCTTGATAATACTCATTTTTATTTTGATATGAAAGTCGAATGCAAATTAATACATTGAAGAGAACAATTATTACTTTACGGAAATTCGCTGTTTTATAGATGACAATTTAACTCCCTCCCTCTTTTAGGATGTGGAGAGATCTTAGCCAATATTTTTTTGTTTAGTAACATTCCTTCGCTTGAGTGTACTTACCACAGAAATTTAAATAATAAGGCAACCTTATTATTTAGATTTCTGTGGTACTTACATTTTATACAGAGTTTCGAATATTCATTTTGTAAAGATACTCAAGTATAAGTATAAGATACTCGTATAAGTTGGTTTAATTGCATATTACTTTCATTTAATACAAAAGCTCTTATTCATTTTATACAATTACGACGCTTGTCATTTAGGGCCGGAGAGGCACGTTAAAAACTTTGATTTGTACTGACCCTGGACTTGAACTCTGTGTTTGATGGAAAGCTTCAGATGTGGTAGGGTTATAAAGCACAGTTTTTTTTTGGTTAATTGACTACATAATAAAGAAAACACTAAAGGCGCGTATTCAAAAAACTAATTTTTTATTTACAGTGATTTTATTTTTAATTTTTTTTTCGTGAGCATAAAATGTTAATATATTCAGCCAGCACTAATACATGCTTGGATAAAGGTGTAATTAGATTAATGATTATACAAAAGAAGCTTTATTTTTGATCGCGTTCACTCACTTGTCATGTTCCATAAACCACTTGTTTTTGTATTTGTAGGGTTTCTAAATTCTTATATACCCTTTTTATTTGCTAAACTGATTAGCCTTACTTATGAGCTTTGTCGGTAAAAGCGATCATGTTAATGGATTGTATGAACAGAATAATACTAAGTTTGAATAATTGATGTTAATAATTGCATGGACCACTAAACGATTAAACTGTAAACAAACGAATGTCAAAATCGGCATAAAACATATTAAAGTTATCACTAAATATGAAGTGTCAAGTAAATAAAGCTCTCTAGATTAAGCATTCCATCACTTTACTATTTTAAAGCAAAACGAACTATGTTCCAGTGGTCTAAAGTTCAAAATGTTATTTGTGTATCATGACAACCCTATCTGTGGACTGTACACGAAACTGCCACGTTATGCCAAACTCAACAATGCCCTTATTCTATGGCACGCGAATTCCAGGAACACACAATTCCCATCCTCGACAAAGAATGCCCTGTTTTTTTTTTGTTCATTTCTCACGAGAGCATTTCCTTTTTTTTACCCGCATTCCAGAAATGTTTACTTTTTGAAGGCCGCAGGTAGATTGTGCTATGTGCGTCTCCGCATCACGATTTATATCTTATTAAATGTTAGTTATTAATATATTGATATGATATGTACTTTGTTTGAGCATTTGAAACAGGATGTTATCAACTGCCATTTTAAGAATTACAGATAAATGAAACTTTTACTACACGTTGTTTTAGACTGATTTCAGCGTAAAGTATTGATTCATATTTTTGTATATGCAGAAACCACTCAGATAAAAAAAAAACTATCGATAAAAATTACAATAGTTGTTTCAAGAGATTATTTTAAGAATTATTGCTATTTTTCTTTTTTTTTTTTTGATGATCATCAATGAAAATGAAGAACTGACGTTTACTTTATTACTATTCTCCTTTAGACATTCTCATACAAAATATCTAGATAGTTTCGTTTTGAGAACTCTTAAAAAAGTGATTCAATTGACTAAGAATACCTATAATATGTAACTAAAATACTATGTTTTGCGTTTTGCGACCCGACAGCGGATTACTCTTTTCGTTTTAGTGGTTTGAAATGAGTTTTGATACAGCTACGTAAAATTAATGGATACAACGATCAGGTGCTGCAATGGTGATATAAACCTCAAATTTATTACTAACTAAACTTATTATTTTATTTTATATTAAAAATCTAAATACTATCGTCATCGACTGTCTATAACATTTTCAGATCTTGAAATCTCATTTATATAACATATATGAGACAATCTATAGGCGAATCCCATGTTTAGAAGTGAACATTTGAACCGTTGCTATGAATGAATAAATGAATGAAAACAAAAAAAAAACATTTCCTAATGTGTAATTCGTAAGTTACCTCCTTTGCTTCGACCACGGCGTAAAAATTAAAGTTCTTACCGCGCATCTACCCTGACAGGGACTGAAATTGATAGGTAGAGCTAACTAAAAATTACAGACTGGCACAAAATTTGACATTATAGATTTTGAACTTATACTCGAGATTGTTGCTGAACCGGTCTTAAAATTTGCTCAGACTTTGAATAGCTTACTTACATTCAGCATTTGTTAAGATCGCCTGTATTAAAATTAAATATAAAAGTTTCAATTTAACCATACATATCGTGTTTCTACAACAATATTGAATAGGCAATATCTATGTTGAATTTGGAAAAATTAAAAATATATTGCTATACTTATGGCTATGAATCTCAGCCTTAGAATTTTATGTTTTCTCTAAATTTGCAAATTCTATACACCAGGTATTGTTACTATCAACTATTGGTAATAAACAGAAAAACTTTAGATTAGAATCAAATCTTTCAAGGCTCAAAGTAGAAAGAATGTCATAATAAGTATTTTATTTTTGTTTCGTCTGCCCAAGCATCGGCTACAAACTTCGATTAGCGTTCCAATGTGATAGGTTGACGTCTATAAAAAAAATGTTTATGGTGTTGATTATGGTCACAGGCCCCAAAATGAATTTATAATAAGCTGCACGGTAGCTGTTGTGAAACGAAAGATTGTTATAGAGGATTTCGTTGGAACGAAAGTTCATAATGTATGTGGCGGCGGTAGGTAAAAACATTGTGAGGAGAGATAAAGCTGTTAGCTTTGATGGTACGTAAACATATATGTTTACATTATCCCTGCAATGCATTTTTAACTTATTTGGATTACAGATGCTTTAGATTACAAAATACCATGGATTGCGTGTTATATCAACTTAATATTTTATTATGAATTCAATCAACTATCAGAAATTATACTCTACTTATATTACACTCTTTAAACAAAAAAAATCGAATGTGATTACTATGTTATAGATTTTCATTTGCGGCACAGAAATGTGACTATAGTAAGTGATGTAGGCAAAAAAACAATGTCGCATCTGATGTGACGTAGCTCTATGGCACATTCCTCTCTCGTAACACCGGGAGCGGTCGGTCGGGCCCAATAATAAGAATATGAGAGTAAAAAACGAAAAGGTAAAGCCTCGCGTTTCGTGCGCCCGCGCCGCGCCCGACCGCGGCCTTCTGTCGTGTGCTTTTTTTATTATTTTTTACTTTTTTCTTTTCCCTCTCGAAGGGTTGCCAGGTGTCCGGTATTTTAAGGCCGTTATTCGTTATTCCTGTATAGGATAATGTCTTGAAGAGCGGTTGTTTCATGTAAAAATGGTATGTTGCAAATTTGCTATTTTATATTTTTTAAAGGTAATAGCCGAGTACTAATTGTATATTTTGAACTGGCAGCCCTGTTTTCGTATGTAATGTTTCCATTCGATCAAAATATGAATACTTACTGCATTTATTTATTATTCTTTGATGTAATGAGTAGGTATAAATACCTATTTCCGCTTGTTGTGTGAGCATCGTTTCTGACAAACTATTTTTTAGTTTTTTGTAAAATTGAAGATAATAGTTTGAATATAATAAAATATTTATATATTAAAATATTTTATTATATTATGCGTTTGAAGTAGGTAAGTAATTGGATTTATTATTATAAGATGTGCAATATAATTTTATTGTAAGTTTGTAAGTTCTTACGCTTAGCTTATAGGTACTTACTTATGATACATAATTACAACATTCATCTAATAAGCCAAATGGCGTAATTTCATTGCCTTCCGATCTAACTTAGTGGTACTGGGTTCGAATCCCGATCAAGCATGGTTTCCACAGATGGTGCACTTTTCTAGTCACACGTCTTCTAAGAACATGCAATATTGATAATTAGTGTTCCCTTAAAAGGCCATTTTCATCAAAGAAGTTGGTCTGTCACGAACACAAAATAACATGTTTTTACTTTTTTATATTGTAAGACTTTTAGTTATCCTTTTATACGTTAAAACTTTTCCTACGGTTTCATATTTAGTAATATTTTTTTTTCATATACTTACATTAAAATAAATGAAAAATACTTATTTTTAAAATAAAACTAAAAAAACATCAATTTGTTCTGTCACAATGATTTAATAACCACAAAAATTAAGTAACGATAACACAGTCAAAATCATATTACATTGCATATTAAAATGTTAAAAAAAAAACACATATTTTCTCCTTGATTATATTTACAGCCATGGTTGTAATAATCGCTACAGATGGCGCCACTGATTGTCATCAAACAAATTATATTCTGTGGAAATGTAATATAATATGCATATAAATATGATAAACTTTATACATTGCCAATGAATCACATTTAAAATAAACATATTTGGATTTTAAACATTTTCGAAACACGCTTGATGAACTCAGTCACTGATAAATTAAAATGGCGAGTAGCTACGAGCTACGACGCATTTCATTACGTGTTCAAGTCTTTGCTGTCTACTCTCAGCTCAAGGCACGTGGCGAGTCGAGTTTTAATAGTTATAATTTTTGTCATATGCTAATGCAGCATGCCTGTGGGCCTGGACTCCTAGTCAGCGTTCGCAGCGACAGGCTCTGTCATTGCTGCGTCATAGAACCCTAAGACACGGCAAATTAAAAATATTTTGCGCAAAGTCTTTAAATTTTTTTAATATTTCTATTTTAACATTTTTTTATATTTTCCAAAAATTATTTACAATAATACAATCATTTGATTTAAATTGCATAAAATGCCATATTTGATCGGTGGATTATTAGCAGCTGCTGCTTTTTTTTTGAGTTTTTTTTGGGGAAATGCTCTTCTGTATCATTTCCGTCTGGTTATCTCTTATGACACCCACGGAATCGCATACCATGTGAATTGAAATTTGTATTACAGATTAAAGTGAATCGATTTTTCATAAAATTTTATTAAAACTACCTTGACGTACTTATACTGACATTGTATTTGAAAGAAATAAATTAATTATTAAGTTATTTCTACGCCTTACGGAATAAGGAACAAACTTGTGCCTGAAGTCGAGACATTGTTGAACAAAGTCTCGGATTGGGGGCGACTAAATCTAATTCAATCCTTAGAAGACACAAGTTTGCGCGTTTACAGCTAAAAAACCCCTTATCGTATCTCCTCAGTTTCAGGGCACTCCCCTTGTTGCCTCAGCCAGTATTGGAATCCTCGGCGTCGACCTATCGAATGACGTGCAGTTTCGTTCAGTTCGTAGTCACTTGGAAGATAATGCCAAACTGGCCTCTAGAAAGCTTGGCGTGCTCAGCAGAGCGGGACAGTATTTCATGCCGGCACACCGCCTGAAACTTTTCAAGACGCAGGTTCGGCCTCACATGGAATACTGCTCCCATCTCCGGGCCGGACCTTCAAGAAAAGAGCCTACTAATACTACTAAGAGCAGTGACTTACTATCTGGTGAGCCGCATGCTCGTTTGCCTCCTCTCATATAAAAAAGGTCTTTAAATTTAAACTGTGCCACTAGTGTACTAACTGTAATACGTCTCGGATTTTTCCTCTATAAATTTTTATCATATTTAATAAAGGCGGAAAAGCTTGTAAATTTAATTATAGGCGAAAGCAAGACTTTGGAATTCGGCTTTACCGTGATGTTATACCAACAAATTGTCTTTCACTTGTTGTGTCTGTGGCATCGCTCCGCCGGGGTACGGCGTGAGGCATCTCAGGAATTTTAATCGCATCCAAGCGTTGGCCCGGTGCTCGCCATCCGAACACAATAAAAACGAAACGTCCCATCGAGCGAGGGCGGCTTAAATTTCGGATGCGTACTTACGCGGCTTATCTAGCGTAGGCTTTTGTTTTATATCTATTTCGACTTGAGCTTATTATGACAGCAACGAATCTACTTTCGCGCACTTTTAGATTTGTTCAATATTCTTAATTTAAAAAAAATGACAATTGACTGGAATAACGTACCTACCTATGTTAGATCAGACGACTGTTTAAAAAAAGACAATTTTAAATATCAGCACTGTAAAATTATAAGTTTTTAAATATTTAAAATACCGGTAGAATATAATATACCATGTATGTTTAGATAATAACTTTCTTTGTAAGTCGTATTTACATTTTAGTTTTGTGAGTAGTTAAGCTAGTTATCTACGTATTGTATTTATAAGGTTTCGCTTACAATGTTTGTTCATACGTACGTATTGTCTACGTAGTAACATTATTTAATCTGTAGTATTATTGCCACGTCCACGTCCTGCCGATGGAAGTTTGTTATTGTAGTACAATTATTTATTCTGTGGTTATAGGTACATAGGAACATAAATAAATGGATATTAGATAAATAGGACTAAATATGTTGTAAAATTATATAACAAACCTGTATTTTTACATACTAAACCATCTTATGGTTCGTCTTATAATATTATAAAAACTTTGACATTGGTAATAAAAAAAGTTGCAAGCTATTGAAACAGAAAAGTGTTTTTCAATTATCATAATCATTTAATTATCATTACAGTCAAATTATATAACAAACCTGTATTTTTACATACTAAACCATCTTATGGTTCGTCTTATAATATTATAAAAACTTTGACATTGGTAATAAAAAAAGTTGCAAGCTATTGAAACAGAAAAGTGTTTTTCAATTATCATAATCATTATAATTATCATTACAGTCAAATTATATAACAAACCTGTATTTTTACATACTAAACCATCTTATGGTTCGTCTTATAATATTATAAAAACTTTGACATTGGTAATAAAAAAAGTTGCAAGCTATTGAAACAGAAAAGTGTTTTTCAATTATCATAATCATTTAATTATCATTACAGTCAAATTATATAACAAACCTGTATTTTTACATACTAAACCATCTTATGGTTCGTCTTATAATATTATAAAAACTTTGACATTGGTAATAAAAAAAGTTGCAAGCTATTGAAACAGAAAAGTGTTTTTCAATTATCATAATCATTATAGTTATCATTACAGTCAAATTATATAACAAACCTGTATTTTTACATACTAAACCATCTTATGGTTCGTCTTATAATATTATAAAAACTTTGACATTGGTAATAAAAAAAGTTGCAAGCTATTGAAACAGAAAAGTGTTTTTCAATTATCATAATCATTATAATTATCATTACAGTCAAATTATATAACAAACCTGTATTTTTACATACTAAACCATCTTATGGTTCGTCTTATAATATTATAAAAACTTTGACATTGGTAATAAAAAAAGTTGCAAGCTATTGAAACAGAAAAGTGTTTTTCAATTATCATAATCATTTAATTATCATTACAGTCAAATTATATAACAAACCTGTATTTTTACATACTAAACCATCTTATGGTTCGTCTTATAATATTATAAAAACTTTGACATTGGTAATAAAAGAAGTTGCAAGCTATTGAAACAGAAAAGTGTTTTTCAATTATCATAATCATTATAATTATCATTACAGTCAAATTATATAACAAACCTGTATTTTTACATACTAAACCATCTTATGGTTCGTCTTATAATATTATAAAAACTTTGACATTGGTAATAAAAAAAGTTGCAAGCTATTGAAACAGAAAAGTGTTTTTCAATTATCATCATCATTTAATTATCATTACAGTCAAATTATATAACAAACCTGTATTTTTACATACTAAACCATCTTATGGTTCGTCTTATAATATTATAAAAACTTTGACATTGGTAATAAAAAAGTTGCAAGCTATTGAAACAGAAAAGTGTTTTTCAATTA